AGGTCACGGGTGTTGTCAAAGCAGAAAAGGGGATTCTGAGACTCGGAGAGCACCTGTACTTAAAACACGGGCATGATAAGACTAAGCATGATTACATTAGGCAGAAAATGAGAGAAGTCGGTAGGTTAATTAACGAAGCAAAAACCGCAGGGAAACTGAAAACAATTAAGGATTTCTTTATTCCTTCCAACTTTAACCATGTGATTGATGCAGTCAGGTCTGTGGCTGGATATGATGAGGAAACAAATCAATACAAGACTCCATCCTTGGCCCTCAAACTCGGCCATAGCCTCAGAAAGCTAGCAGATATTCTTGAATGTGACTCAAAAATGGAGCATTGTGTTGATGAACTATTTATTAAAAACCTCCAACGAAGCCGGCTGCTTTTTGAGAAGAGGTGGGACGTCTGTGTTTCTTCTGCTGCCCTACAGACCCTCCGGCAAGCCAAGTGGAACACTCCGGACCTGCTCCCTCTGACTGAGGACGTTAGAGCCATGCATGCACATATTGAGGTATGTCGACCTGAATATGTGCAAACCCTAATAAGTGAGCCAACGTCTAAGCATTGGTCTAAACTGGCAGTTTTGACTCTTTGTGAGGTCATCATTTTCAATCGAAGAAGGGAAGGTGAGGTTTCAAAGATGCCACTGACAGCCTTTACCTTAAGAAGTAAGACTGGGATCCATTCTGACATTGCTCTGGGACTGTCCCAACTTGAGAAAAAGCTGTGTCAGCATTTTCAACGCATTGAAATTAAAGGGAAAAGAAGTCGGAAAGTGCCGGTTCTTTTGACTCCTGAAATGATTGCTTCGATGGAGGTGCTGGTGGAGAACAGAAGGGCCTGTTCCATCTCTGACCATAACCCATACTTCTTTTCCCGCCCGGGCGCAGACACCCACATCAGGGGATCAGACTCCCTACGCCAGGTAGCCAAAGAATGTGGTGCGGTGCATCCAGAGATGCTATCCTCAACCAAACTTAGAAAGCACATAGCTACTATGTCTACAGTTCTCAATATGAAAGAGAATGAGATGGACATACTTGCCAACTTCCTCGGCCATGACATTCGCATCCACAGGCAATATTACAGACTACCAGAGGGGACACTGGAGCTGGCCAAAATCAGCAAAGTGTTGATGGCCATGGAGCAGGGAAGAGTGACGGAATTCGAAGGAAAGAGCCTCGACCAGATACAAATTGAGCCTGAAGGTAATTCTTGATATTATTAAAATATGTATGATTTTTTTCCCCTAAAGGCCACTTGTATTTTTATTTTCTGTGCGACAGGGAGAGCAGTAGAGATCCTCTCACAAACGGACGGGCTAAAAGAAACTTCAAGCGGAGAACCTTCAACCATTCATCCAGATGCACCCCATGGTAGTGGCAGTGCCCCTTCTGGTAAGTGTACCAGGTGGGGGATTACAGCCAGGCTGCTTGGTCCTAACCCTGGGAGTGTATATTGCTAATATATTTTTATTTCTCTCCCTAGAACGTTAGAGAAAGCCATGGTCTGCATCTGAGGTGAAGGCTGTGGAGAAGACCATGACACCTTTCATACAGACTGGAAAGGTCCCTGGGAAGTCTCACTGCCTGCCTGGCCTGCATTAATGCCTCACCAGATGACCTTAGACATCGGACATGGAGTGGCATTAAATTCTATGTCAAAAATAGAATCACTGCAATTCGAAAAAAAAATCTAAAATAAAATTCCTTTAAAATAGTTGTTTGGTTTCTATTGACTGTTTTGTATTACTTAAAGTAGTCCCAGTAAAAAAAGATTATGTCTATGGGTCCCATTCTGAACGGCCCTGTCAAAGGGACCCACCAGGTAACAAAAACGTGTATGTGTGTGCGTGTGTGTGTATCTGTGTGTACAAGAGCGTGTGTGTATCTGTGTGTACGAGAGTGTGTGTGTGTGTGTATCTGTGTGTACGAGAGTGTGTGTGTATCTGTGTGTACGAGAGTGTGTGTGTATCTATGTGTATGAGAGTGTGTGTGTGTGTGTCTATCTGTGTGTACAAGAGCGTGTGTCTATCTGTGTGTACGAGAGTGTGTGTGTGTGTGTGTATCTGTGTGTACGAGAGCGTGTGTGTATCTGTGTGTATCGGTGTGTACGAGAGTGTGTGTGTGTATCTGTGTGTACGAGAGCGTGTGTACGATAGTGTGTGTGTGTGTGTATCTGTGTGTACGAGAGCGTGTGTGTATCTGTGTGTATCGGTGTGTACGAGAGTGTGTGTGTGTATCTGTGTGTACGAGAGCGTGTGTACGATAGTGTGTGTGTGTGTGTGTATCTGTGTGTACGAGAGCGTGTGTATCTGTGTGTACGAGAGTGTGTGTGTATCTGTGTGTACGAGAGTGTGTGTATCTGTGTGTACGAGAGTGTGTGTATCTGTGTGTACGAGAGTGTGTGTATCTGTGTGTACGAGAGTGTGTGTATCTGTGTGTACGAGAGTGTGTGTATCTGTGTGTACGAGAGTGTGTGTATCTGTGTGTACGAGAGTGTGTGTATCTGTGTGTAGGAGAGTGTGTGTGTGTACGTGTGTGTATGTGTGTGTACAAGAGCGTGTGTGTATGTGTGTGTGTATGTGTGTGTACAAGAGCGTGTGTGTATGTGTGTGTGAATGTGTGTGTACGAGAGCATGTGTGTTTGTGTGTATGTGTGTGTTTGTGTGTATGTGTGTGTTTGTGTGTATGTGTGTGTTTGTGTGTATGTGTGTGTGTGTTCATAATTCAAAAACACACAAGAATGTATTTATTTAACACTGAATAAATAATAACTTTACAATAGTTTGTCGTGTTCAGTGCAATTTAACACTTTCATGAAACTGAAGAAAGACAGATTCTTCCTGAAGGAGAAACGCAGCAACAATAACCACTGTGTCAGCAACACCCAGCGCCCCACCCCAGGCCGGTCCAACCCAGGCCGGTCCAACCCAGGCCGGTCCAACCCAGGCCAGTCCACCCCAGGCCAGTCCACCCCAGGCCGGTCCAACCCAGGCCGGTCCAACCCAGGCCGGTCCAACCCAGGCCAGTCCACCCCAGGCCAGTCCACCCCAGGCCGGTCCAACCCAGGCCGGTCCAACCCAGGCCGGTCCAACCCAGGCCGGTCCAACCCAGGCCAGTCCACCTCAGGCCGGTCCAACCCAGGCCGGTCCACAGGAGTAGACCATGTGGAGGACTGGACCAGCAAACAGCTCCAACGACATCATGAGTAACCACCATCATTCATTCATCATTTACTAGTTTTATTCTTTCAGATTAAAAGCAGCAACACCAGCAGCAGCAGCAGCAGCAGCAGCAGCAGCAGCAGACTCCAACTAGACTCCTAGTGCGACTCTGACCCTGTTCCCTTCATGTGTGTCCTGTCTTGAACCCTCTGAGCCTTTGTCTCGGGACGCGGCCGTTGGACAGTTTTGGCAAACGGCCAGAACCAGAGACTCTGAAGGACCAGGTGTAACATTTAATACACACACACACACACACACACACACACACACACACACACACACACACACACACACACACACACACACAATTCCGAGGATGATGCTAATGTAGATGGTTCTTATTTTTTCTCTTCAAAATAGACCCAGGACTGAGGCTGTAGACCCAGGACTGAGGCTGTAGACCCAGGACTGGGGCTGGAGACCCAGGACTGGGGCTGGAGACCCAGGACTGGGGCTGGAGACCCAGGACTGAGGCTGTAGACCCAGGACTGAGGCTGTAGACCCAGGACTGAGGCTGTAGACCCAGGACTGAGGCTGTGGATCCAGGACTGAGGCTGTAGATCTAGGACTGAGGCTGTAGACCCAGGACTGAGGCTGTAGACCCAGGACTGAGGCTGTAGACCCAGGACTGAGGCTGTAGACCCAGGACTGAGGCTGTAGACCCAGGACTGAGGCTGTAGATCTATGACTGAGGCTGTAGACCTAGGACTGAGGCTGTAGATCCAGGACTGAGGTTGTAGATCCAGGACTGAGGCTGTAGACCCAGGACTGAGGCTGTAGACCCAGGACTGAGGCTGTAGATCCAGGACTGAGGTTGTAGATCCAGGACTGAGGCTGTAGACCCAGGACTGAGGCTGTAGACCAGGGGTGTCCAAACATTTTAGTAAGAGGGCCACTTTTGTTCACCAGATTAGTTCAGGCTGAGCTTTAAAATGATCTATAAAATGATTTATAACAGAGCTGAAGTTGGTTGAATGACCATTTCACTAGCGCCATTATTGGAAGTTTGTGACACAATCAAAATCCGTGTCAGTACATTTTGTCAACAACTGAAATCCAGACGTACTGGGCTTTAGAAAAAGTTACAACATGTCTATACTGGCTGAGATGAAGTTGGATGGATGACACAGTGAACTTGTGTTTATGATCTCAAAGACTGCTTTGGATCAGCAAGGCAGAGGGCCAGATAAAATGACACTGAGGGCCGCAAATGGCCCTCGGGCCTGAGTACATGCCTGCTGTAGACCCAGGACTGAGGCGTCTGCAGTCAGAGCTGTACCGGACCGTTGTGGTAAAGAGGGGGCTGAGCCGAAAGGCAAAGCTCTCGATTTACGGTCAATCTTTGTTCCCTCCCTCACCTCTGGTCATGAGGGAGCAGCGTCTGCAGTCAGAGCTCCCCTCCCTCACCTATGGTCATGAGCTTTGGATAATGACCGGTCGAAATGAGCTTCCTCTGCAGAGTGGCTGCTCCCTTAGAGATAGAGGAGCTCAGTCACACGGGAGGAGCTCGGAGTAGATCCGCTGCTCCCTTAGAGATAGAGGAGCTCAGTCACACAGGAGGAGCTCGGAGTAGAGCCGCTGCTCCCTTAGAGATAGAGGAGCTCAGTCACACGGGAGGAGCTCGGAGTAGAGCCGCTGCTCCCTTAGAGATAGAGGAGCTCAGTCACACAGGAGGAGCTCGGAGTAGAGCCGCTGCTCCCTTAGAGATAGAGGAGCTCAGTCACACGGGAGGAGCTCGGAGTAGAGCCGCTGCTCCCTTAGAGATAGAGGAGCTCAGTCACACGGGAGGACAGACATGGGGGGAACATGTAAAGTGGGAGTTTGAGTGGGCTCTTCCTGGATCATCTGCTTGTTACGCCGCACACATGTTTTTGCGTAGACTGTAAATGGTTTGCGGCGAAGCGTCCTGATTGGCCGGTAACGGTGGGAGCGCTCTGACGGTCCGGCTGGTCCCTGATGGTCCGGTCGTCTGTAATCAGGGTCTGGAGCAGGACTCGGGCCGCGGCACTTTGAAGTGATGAGCTCTTCCCGGTGGCTGACTGTCATTGCTTCCATGTGTCCGATTCTACAGGACCAGTGGAAAATGACTCAGAGCGGTTTGAAGCAGGCCATCAAAGGACCATCAAAGGACCATCAAAGAACCATTAAGGCACCAATACTGGGCGCTAGGATTCAGTTTGCTCTCATCTTCACTTTCAATAACATTTATTTTGTCCATCCATCCATCCATTTTCTTCCCCTTAATCCATTTCTGGGTTGGGGGGTGGCAGTCCACAGAGCACCAGCCCCTCACTGATCCTCCTGCAGGTGCTGAGTCCACAGGAGCTGAGATCTTTCAGCGGGGTCTTCAGGCAAAGTGGGGTTAAGACCAGAGAGACTGTGAGCTGTCTGTTCTGGAGGTTCTTATGAATCCAGATCTTAGAATAATCACTGACTCTTCTGGCCCTCTGGAAAAGCCATGTTCCAGCTTCTTCCCTCAAAATGGTTTTTGTCCATTAATTTTACAGTGACTAATACTCCCTGTAAATGTTTAGCTTGTTTTTATTGTGCGGACTTGTCTGGTTCACACTGGGGACTCTTGCACATGTATTCCAATGGGGTTTTACTGCAAATACACTGAATCTGAATCTCAGTCCTGAGTAACTTGGAGAGGGACTGACTCCACCTGACCTGAGTCTGAACCTGAGTCTGGACCTGAGTCTGGACCTGAGTCTGGACCTGAGTCTGGACCTGAGTCTGGACCTGAGTCTGGACCTGTGTCTGGACTTGAGCCTGGACCTGGACCTCAGACCTGGTTCACATGTGTCTTTGACGCTGCAGACGGAGCGTGGCGTTCCCTCGGCCTCGCTCCGTTCCCTCGGTCTCGCTCCGTTCCCTCGGCCTCGGTCCGTTCCCTCGGCCTCGCTCCGTTCCCTCGGTCTCGTTCCGTTCCCTCGGCCTCGCTCCGTTCCCTCGGTCTCGTTCCGTTCCCTCGGCCTCGCTCCGTTCCCTCGGTCTCGTTCCGTTCCCTCGGCCTCGCTCGGCTGAACTGCCGCAGATCACTTCCTGATTCTTTAAACGTTATGCAAATGTGCGGCTGCTTCTGGAGCCAGCGAGTCAGAGCACCACAACAGACACTTTTATCTGGAGGCAAAAGAGAAGAAGGAGAGGAAGATGAGATGCTCTGTTGGTCCCAGAGCGGGGAAATGTCAGTGTTGCATCAGCGGTTACAGACCAGGAGGAGCGAGGAGCACACAGCACGCCATCACTACACTAGCACACTCTGCAGTAAGCTTTAGCTTTAGCATGTTAAAGAAGCAAGTCAGAAATCTCAGGCTTAGCAAGAAGTAGCAAGAATTAAGTACAGCATTTTAACTTTATCATAACAAAGAAACAAGAAAGAAGAAGAAGAAGAAGAAGAAGAAGAAGGGCCTTTGGTGGGGAAGTTTCAGTTTGATGAATGAACACATGAACACATCAAGGCAGTGGACATACTTACGCGCTCTTTATAGGCAAAGTGTGTTAAGTGTCTTGCCCAAGGACACAACAACAGCAGACCTCAGAGAAGTCGGTGGAGAAGGTCTTGTGGTGGTAACTCCCACAGCCGTCATTTTGGCTGCTCCATCAGTTTGAATGCAAAATGGACTTGACTGGTTCTAGTTCAATTTTGTTTTCCACCAGGGAAATGCAAGTGCTAGTTACCATAGCAACACTTACTATGGTAACTTACTTTTACCACTTACTTTTTAGCACTCAGTAAAAGTGAGACCTTATAAATATGTTACTTTTTAATAACATTTGTGAAAACATTTTGGGGCAATTTTTCATAACTCCATTGGTTTGAATCGGGCTGGGTGGATAGCACTCTCACCTCTCAGCAAGAAGGTCCTGGGTTCAAATCCTGGTCGGAACGGGGTTTTTCTGAGTGGAGTTTGAATGTTCTCCCCGTGCCTCCGGGTGCTCCGGTTTCCCCTACCACTAAAAACATGCTCACTAGGTTATATCCTCCAGCTCTGGTCCTGACCAAGCAGAGCATCAACATCTGGAGACGGGTTCCCGGGCGCTGTTACTACGGCGACCACGGCTCCTGACGTAAGCCTTACTGCTAATTTAGCTTATTGCTAATGTTTACTTACCGTCGCAATTTAAACGTGTGGCGACAGACCGCCATGCCTGCATGTTCTTTATGGTGTCTTTGAAAAAATTGTGCTGCGCATCGTATATAATGCTGTACAATCAACTTTTCGTCGTCCATCGGGGATGCTGTGTGCTGCGGCGGCAAGAAATGAACAGACACTTATTTTGGTAGGGTACTGGACGTTTACTTTGAAAGATCACCTATTGACTTCCTGAGTTGCCTGCATACGTATGCGTCAAAATTAGAAATCAATTCTAATTTAGGCGCAGCCTCGTGCCATACGTCCGTCATTCGTCCGTCATACGCGCGTATAACGCTAGTAGTGTAAATATTACCATTGGTTGACATGGAAAAAAATTACGCACGTCTGCTGCGCGCACGTTGATAAAGTACCAGATTCATAATGGAAATACAACTAGGTAGAGCAGGTTAGGGTAGTGTAGGGGTAGTGTAGGGGTAGGGTAGGGTAGAGTAGAGTAGAGTAGAGTAGAGTAGAGTAGAGTAGAGTAGAGTAGAGTAGAGTAGAGTAGAGTAGAGTAGAGTAGAGTAGAGTAGAGTAGAGTATAGTAGAGTAGGCTTATGTCTCGACTGTAAGGGTCAAGTCTTTAGATTGAGCAGTCTTCTGTCCTGTTACCGTGGCGATGGTAAATCCTGGAGTGCAGATGGTCACATGAGAGTAATGCCCCGGGGCCTGATGACTGTGTCAGATCCACACAGAAGTCTTCTCAAAGATTAACATCTGACATGGGCCATGATCCATGTACACACAGCCTCTGCTCCAGGGTGATGTCACATGTCTGCTGCTATTGGACCAGATCATCACCAGGAACCTGAAGGAACCTGAAGGTGAGAGATCCGGCTGTTAGAAGAAAGATACATACTTTGTATGTATCAGGAGTCCAGCAACAGAAACACATCCAAACAAACACATAAATACATCATTATCAAAGTTACAATAGTAATAAAGTACAGCAGCAGCAGGAGATGAGCAGCCTCCTCTGGTTGATGTCTGCAGTCCACTTGGTTCAGACGGTTTTCTCTGCTCTGGTTCTGAAGATGTGACGGAGGCCAAACACAGAACCACTGATGGAGCAGAACTGTTTTAGAACCAGGATCTAGTTTGTCACAGAGTTCCATTATCTCCTCTCCCTCACTCCTCTTGGTGGGAGTATGTGAGCTCAGATGATCCTAGGAGCTCTGTTTCTTGGAGCGTTTTCCTGGACAAACAGGTCCCAGGGGACGAGACAGACATACAGTACAGTGTGTATGGGCCATTGTTGGGCCTCCTCCTGCCGGGCCTTTGCCCAAGGGGCCCGTTTGGGGCTCATCCGGGTCTTGTGGACCTGTGGACTCATCAACTGCAGACGGATTCGTGGGGTGGAGTGCTGTAAACATGTTTTATTTTTTCAGGTCAGGTCTGAGAGCTAAATACAGACTCTAAAGGAGTTCACAAAAAGATAATGTCGTGAACCAAAGGAGCTAAAACATGGACAAACATCAACAGGCCCCGAGCCAAAGGAGACAAGTTCTGGAGCTGAGGGCAGGTGAGGGCAGCTGAGGGCAGGTGAGGGCCGCTGAGGGCAGGTGCTGGTTTCTACACACAGATGTTAGTTATAATAACTGTCCTGGTGCTTGTAAAGAGGATATAAGGAACTCCTATAATAATGGGAGCTCAGACAGATCGCTGCCCGAGCCTGAGGTCTGCGTCCGCTATGACAGAAAGACTCTTCACAAACCACAAGATGAGAATTTGTTCTTACTGCTTCTCTGACTTGTTACTCGTAATGTACGTCTCATACTCACAGCTGGATGGCTTTGATTATTCCAGGTTCCTAGTAACTGTGATGGTGCTCATCATTCATGGTTGTTGGTGTCGAGACCATAGACTGTATATATTAACGGACAGAGTCAGTATCTCCGCCGTTCTAACTAATGGGCCAAAAAATGTGCTCTACTGGAGCAATCCAAAATGGCCGCGAGTGGTCCCGCCCACAAGAAAATTGTGAAAAAACGCATCAGCGCATGTGTCAGCCGGCGCAGCTCCATTCATTTGAACGAGAGACTTCTAAAGTCCACAGCGACTAAACTAGACTGGTCCAGAACACGCAGCATTGACACACATGTGGAACGGAGCTTTGGACCAAGAGACAACTTTTGGACCATCTTGTAAAGACGTTTTTGAGAGGTCTGCCGATGCTATATGTTAGCATTGGCTAATTCTTCTTCTGGGTCCACCCCCACAGGCCCGGGGTGGTACTGCAGCATGTCAGCGCACGTCATTTTGGCCACTTTTGAGCCGGGACCCGCCCACACTGGTCGAGACGAGCAGGTGGTCGTTGGAGTGAGACATCTGTCTGTCTCTCTGTCCCTGAAGGGCTATGTTTAGAATATGTGTGTTGTATAAAGTTATAACCAGTCAACTCCAAAGACAAGCCCCGCCCCCTTCTTATTTCCTTGGTGTGAATTTTTTTTGGCGTTTCTGTTTTTTTTTTATTGAATAATATTTTACAACCTGTGTCTATAACTCCAGGAGCCACAGACGCAGGTGGTCTTCCCCTGCACTAGATGGCGCTTCACTGTAGTCTCGATCTATACATGTTTATCTACACATTTTTAACTTAACAAAGGACTTTACTTTTTTTTTTTTTTTTTTTTAAACTTAATTTTTATTTAAACATTTTAAAACATTTTTACATTTCAGAAAGAACAAACAGGCCATCAGTATTTGAACAGTTACACCTTGATATGTACACACACATTAAATAAAGCATTTCCATTTTTCCCAATATTTCCAAAATTTCTCTATTGAGTGTCTTAGTGAAAACGTTAGTCTTTCCATTTCACCAATTTCTGTCACGATTGTAATCCAGTCTGATTTTGTTGGTGGTTTGTCCTGTAGCCATTTTCGAGTGATCGCCTTTTTACTTGCCACGAGCATTATCAGGAGAAGATAGCGGTCTTTTTTCCTCAGTCCAACCGGTATGTTGCCCAGATAGAAGACTTGGAAAGTCTCTTCCAGTTGCAGCCTGGAAATCGACTTAATGCTTTTTATTATCTCTGTCCAGTAGGGGGCAATCACGGGGCATTCCCAGAATATGTGAAAATGTCCAGCTGATACTCTCCCACACTTCCTCCAACAGACACCCTGAACAGCACTTTTGGTTTGAAGTTCTTTGATTCTGGGAGTCAAGAAGTATCTTACAACACTTTTCCATGCATATTCTCTCCATAAATCAGAGCTGGAGGTTGTTATGATGGTGTTGCATATATTTGCCCAATCCTTATCTGTTAAAGCTATCCCTGTTTCTTTTTCCCATTTGTGTTTAATGTAATTTGTGGAAAGTTTTTTACGTGATTGTAAAACAGAGTAGACAGAAGACACATGCCTCCCAACATTCTTCCCTTTACATGTATCAATGACTAGTCTAACAAGAGCATCACCTCCATGGCTTGTAGGTTTAATGTTTGCATTGAAATGATGCCTCAGTTGAAGGTAACGATAAAAATCCTTTTTTTCCAGTCCAAATTTTTCTGAAAGTTCTTGGAAGGATTTCATATTGCATTCTGTAGTTATTTTCCAATATGCAGTGATGCCCCCGTTACACCAACATCTAAATCTGCTATCACATCCAGCGGGAATGAATTCGGTGTCATAAGCGGGCCAACGCAGTATTCTTGCCTCCCTTTCAACTGCTTCTTGTTTAATAACATTAGCCCAAATATTCAGTGGTGTCTTAATACAATCTGATACAGTTTGTAAAAGTATCATTAACCTTGTTTTATCACCTAAAATGGAGGAGAGTGGGACATCACCGATCTCTGCTTTATCGATTAACTTCCATTAAGCCTCATTAGATGGGTCACACCATGCAATCAAGATTCTAAGTTGAGCCGCTTTATAATAATTTTCCAGACACGGTAAAGCCATCCCACCCTCTCTTTTGGACAATTGCATTGTCACATATTTTATTCTAGGCTTTTGTTTATTCCAAATAAAATTAGAAATCAATCTATTCCATTCTATAAATTGCCTGGAGGACACCGAAACAGGCAGCGCGAGAAACAAATAGAGTAGTTTAGGCAATATAGTCATCTTAATCATTTGGATTCTGTCGTGCATGTTCATAGGGAGTAATGACCATCGGTCCAGATCTGCTCTAATGCTGATTGTCAATGGATCATAGTTGTGTTTACATATCTCGTTTTGTTGTTTGGGTATATGGACTCCTAGGTATTTGATTGATGCATTGTTCCAATTACATTTTAAATGTTTTGTAAGATATTTGCTTGGTTTATAATCGAATGTAAGAACTTGGGTTTTATGAAGATTTAATTTATAACCGGAGTAGAAACCGAACGTATTAAGAAGGGGTATAAGTGCTTTCAGACTAGTTTCAGGTTCAGAAAGTGTGAGTAGGACATCATCCGCGTATAGACAAATTTTATATTCTGTATCATACAGATCAATACCTTCTATCTGGTTTGATTCTCTGATTGCTTGAGCCAGAGGTTCAATGTACAGCGCAAACAGACTTGCACTCAAGGGGCAGCCCTGGCGGCAGCCACGATTCAGAGAAACTGATTTTGACAGGTCTCCGTTAATTTTAATTCTGGCACTTGGTGAGCTGTAAAGAGAGGCCAGACAAGTAATTATACTACTATTGAAACCAAAGCGTTTTAAGGTTAAAAATAAAAACTCCCAACGGACAGAATCAAATGCCTTTTCTGCATCAAGGCTTAGTGCTACAGATTTAGTGTTTTGCATATGACCTATGAGATTAATTACCCTACGTATGTTGTCGTGTGTCTGTCTACCTTTAACGAATCCTGTCTGATCAGTGTCTATTAATTCTGGAATGATGTCCTCAAAACGCTTTGCAAGTATCTTTGCGAATATTCTATAATCTATGTTTAGTATAGAAATTGGTCTGTAAGAGCCACATTCAGTTGCATCTTTTCCTGGCTTGGGAATGACTGAAATAAGCGCTTGCTTCCATGATGTAGGTATCGCCCCTCCCTCAAGGACATAGTTAAAACAGGATTTGAGTAATGGAATAATGGTCCGTGAAAAGGCCCTGTACCATTCGGACGGGAACCCGTCGGGGCCCGGCATTTTGTTCCCTTTTAAATTTGATATTATCTTATGAATTTCTTCTTCTGTAATTTGTTGTGAAAGTTTTTTATTTTGTTCTGTACCTATGGAGGGTAGATCTAACGATTCGAGGAAACGTTTCCACTATAGTTGGGTCTGCTGCTGGTGGCTGGGTATAAAGATTTGAATAATAAGTTACAAAAGATTTTTGTATGTCTTCTAAATTATGTTGAATTACTTTCGTAACTGGATTTTTTATTTTGTGTATGTTTCGGTTCGCCTGTTGTTTCCGTGTCCTCCACGCAAGTAGTTTCTTGGCTCTAGGTCCATTCTCGTAATAGTTTTGTTTGAGGAACTTAGCTTTCGTCTCTATCTGATGATCATATAGCTCATTTAAGTCACGTTTAGCTGACAGTAATTTACTCAAGCTGTCGTCGTTATTTTTCCTCACATGTTCGTCCTCCAATAATTTAAGTTCAAAGACCTTATCACCGATTATCTTTTCTCTTTCTTTCTTTTTAATAGATGACCATCTAATTAGTTTACCTCTCAAAACTGCCTTAGCTGCATCCCATAACACGCTAGGCGAAACGTCTCCTTTGTCATTGTGATAGATATATTCTGCAAATGACTCCTCCGTATAATTTCTAAATTCTTCATCATTAAGGTAATTAGAGTTAAGTCTCCACGCTGTCTCCTTTCGTGCAATATCTAAATGTATAGTCAAGTTTACTCCTGCATGATCTGAAACGTCCCTTACCCCTATATCACAATCATAAACCCTATGTCTGTCTTTGTTAAGCATAAAAAAATAATCCAATCTCGAAAACATAGAGTGTGAGTGGGAATAGAAAGTAAAACCTTTTTCATTTGGATGTAATTCTCTCCATATATCTTTCAAACCAACCTCTTTAATGAGCTTATTAACAAGTAATGCTTCCGGTCGCATTTTTCTTAAAGTGGAGGAGTCTAATGAGGGGTGCAAGTAAATGTTCCAATCTCCACCACATACAAGAACCCCAGTTGAATCTGTACAAATAATGTCAAAAATCTTCTTAATCAGTTGTCTATTATTTCCTGGTGGACGATATACATTTAATAATGTAACCTCTTTATGGTCAATAAAACCTTTTAACATAATATATCGTCCCTCAGAATCTGTTATCTGTGAGGAGAACTGGAAATTTACATTATTTGAAATAAGGATTGCTACTCCCCTGGCTTTTCCATTTGTAAAAGAGGAATAATAAGAGTGTTTAAACCATTTTTTCAGTTTTCCATGTTCATCGTTTGAAAGATGCGTTTCCTGCCAAAATATAACATCATGCTTTTCTCGTTTCATTTTACTTATTACCTTACTCCGCTTCACTACATTATTTAAACCATTTACATTGAGTGTTATAAATTTGTATTGTTGTCTATTCATTAATGTATTTTATGATATATTTTTCTATGATGTGGGTGAAACATTTGCAATCAATCTTGAATAGTTCAGATGGCCAAAAGGGAATAAACAAAATGGTCTGAAAGAACAGTATGAACAAATAGAACAAACACACAAACATGACTTCCACATACGAAGTGAGATATCCACCTCTAAGTGGGGAGGGAGGTCTTCTGAACTGAAGAGCCCCTCTAGATGCGTGCTGCAGGGTCCGATCCGTATCAATCAGAACAGCTCGCATTGGGGAGGGCAAACAAGCATGCGCATCTCAGCATATGGGTCAAGATTACTAGACTTAACAAAAGGGCAACAAGGTCATACAAATGTCCACTGCATGGACAGTACCTCATGCGCTGCAGTCATCACGTCGAAATTGGTTTAGTCTTTCCTTGATTTTTGTAATCCTCATCTCACGTTGATGGCGTGATACGCCAGCTTTATGCCATGGTGGTGTTGCCATTCTTGTTTCGGTGGATTTCCCTGGCGTTGCCACATTAGTGGTGATTTCTACGTCAATCGCTCCTTTTTTCTTCAAATCTTCTGCTGCTTCAGACGCATTACTGTAGACCACCGGACCGGTATGAAGGTGGACGCGAAGACGTGCAGGGTGCAGTGTTTGGAAGCGTAAACCTTTCTCTTTTAGTGCTCTCCGAACAGGTGCATAGGCTTTTCTTTTCGCCAAGGCGTCACTTGTGTAGTCTTGCTCAAAGAAAATTCGTCTTCCTTGAAATTGAATGTCTTTTTTGTTCCATGCTGCTTTGAGTACAAGTTCCTTGGTTCTGAACTCGAGAAAACACAGTACTATTGACCTCGGATTAGCTTCTGTTGGAGGCTTTGCTGCTAGTGAGCGGTGACATCGCTGTATGCCAAGAGATGTGTTTGACAACGCCAGCTCTGTTTTAATGAAATTCTCAATGAAACCAAAAGGGTCATTTCCTTCAGCTTCTTCGCGAATCCCGTGGATTCTAATATTATTACGGCGTGAGCGCGCCTCCAAATCAACGAGCCGTTTTTGGAGCTGATCATGCAACTCAAGCGTGTGTGCTAGCGCGTCGTTCACATCCGCACTGATATCCTCCATGTTGCTAACACGTCTTTCAGCTTCTCCTATCCTGTCAGATATTTGTTTCACGTTGGTCTCAACAGCAGCGAGCCTACTGTTCATTTCCCCTCTAAAATCGAAAAGGTCTTGCCTGAGTTGTCCCGTTGCTTCGTTGACATCCGAGCGGACTTTTTGTATTTCGGCTATGATGCTAGCGCTAATAGCATCCATGTCTTTGTCGTTGGCTAACCCCTCCGCGCTTGCTAGCGTGTTAGCACTGGCGTTGCTGTCCTCACTCTCACTCGGAGATACGACCGTTTCCTCTCCCTGAGTGTGTGCCTTCCGCGTGGATTTCCTTCCACTTCCCCTTGGCATATTTGTCAAATTACTTTGTTTAGAAAATAGCCGGTCTGGCCATGGGGAAGTTGGACCCGCTGAGAGATGGGAAATTATGCGACCGCTCGCTTGTCCTCCATTCCCGGAAGTCCTCCAAAGGACTTTACATTTAATAAATAATTCTACTAGAGTTTACACATGGTAAGACCAGACGTACATGTAGGAGATGACCATGGACCAGAGTTTACACATGGTAAGACCAGACGTACATGTAGGAAATGACCATGGACCAGAGTTTACACATGGTAAGACCAGACGTACATGTAGGAAATGACCATGGACCAGAGTTTACACATGGTAAGACCAGACGTACATGTAGGAGATGATCATGGACCAGAGTTTACACATGGTAAGACCCAGGCGTACATGTAGGAGATAATCATGGACCAGAGTTTACACATGGTAAGACCAGACGTACATGTAGGAGATGATCATTGACCAGAGTTTACACATGGTAAGACCAGACGTACATGTAGGAGATGATCATGGACCAGAGTTTACACATGGTAAGACCAGACGTACATGTAGGAGATGACCATGGACCAGAGTTTACACATGGTAAGACCAGACGTACATGTAGGAGATGACCATGGACCAGAGTTTACACATGGTAAGACCAGACGTACATGTAGGAGATGACCATGGACCAGAGTTTACACATGGTAAGACCAGACGTACATGTAGGAAATGACCATGGACCAGAGTTTACACATGGTAAGACCAGGCGTACATGTAGGAGATGACCATGGACTAGAGTTTACACATGGTAAGACCAGGCGTACATGTAGGAGATGACCATGGACCAGAGTTTACACATGGTAAGACCAGGATTGATGAATAAAGATTCTCTTTAGCCACTCTGTCGTTCTCGTTTGGCCTGTGCACTGGTTCTCATCCACAAACAAAAGACTTTCTACCTTTGTGGGAATCATGCAGCACATAACTCCTAATCTGTTTGCGTCTGAATAAAGTGGATTTTGATCTACTCTCCCTTCGCTCTGGAATAGATTACAGCATTCTCCGTGTTTGTAAATGAATGTCGTCGTCCGGAGCCTGATCTATTTGGAGTGTATGTTTTATCAGACACTTGTGGAGGGCGCAAACAAAGCAGGATCCCGGACCGCGGCTCATCTGCTCCCATGTCATTTCTAATTTCATACATTACACACGGCCGAGCGTAAACCGGTTACAGCGAGACAATCTCGTCAGGCGCTGGTGTGGGTAAGCCACTGTCTGCACCAGATTAGAGCCGCCGATAAGTCCTCAGAAGAACACACTATTCCCGCTGTAATCCAACGACTTCTACTTCTACTTCTGCTGGACTTGGACTTGTCGCTGCTACATACTGTCCATCGAGCACTTTTTAACTAATGTTATCTAGTTTTGGATTTGTTTTTATGCACGCCGTTTTATCTTTATAACTTGTTTCCATCGAGAGCCAACGCAATTTCCGAGTTTGCGATTTTCCGTTACTCACGACTACAATAAAAATTGTGTCTGTAGCCACAGCTGCCCTGGGGCACACTGTCAGAAGTGAGGCAACCAGTCTGTGCCATTGGCCCCTCCCACCACCACCAACCATTCACACACACACCAGACTCATTCTAATGTGGGGGAAGTGTCTTGCCCAAGGACACAACCACAATCTCAGTCCTGGTCCCAGCCTGCATCATCCAGGTCTCGTGTACTTTGGTATTTGGTCCTGGACTCATATACTTTGGTCCTGGACTTATGTACTGTAGTATTTGGTCCTGGACTCATGTACTGTAATGTAATTACAGTACATGTAATGTAGGTCCACAGATGTGGACCTACATTAGTCCCGTTGCTTCCATGTCTGTAATCCCAAATCTACACAAGTCAAAGAGGTTGAACTAAAACAGTAAACACACGTGTAATCTGTGTCCATAGAATCGTATTAGCGCTATGCTAACGTGAAGCTAAAGCCAGATTAACTGTACCAACGATACAATCTGCGACATGTCGAAGGTAAACACATCTGTAGGTCCTGGAGGGAGACTTCCTGCTGCTTCGTCAAAAACACAGGTTTTTGCAGAAAAATGAATAAGCAGCATGTTCTCCCTGTGTCTGCGTAGGTTTTCTCCAGGGGCTCCGTTTCCCCCATGAAAAACATGTACCATAGTTTGCTTCTGTCATCACCGTGAGTGGAGTAAATAAAAATACATTAAAATTGTATCCCGCTTTAGTGATATGCACGAAAAATAATGATTGCTTTCTTCAAATCAAGAAATGTTGGGGTAATAACAGACTGAACCAAAAACACAGAGTCTAAAACAGATTCTTTCCTGCATCAGCTGACAGCTGCTCACAGGTCTCGAATCTTGACGAAAATCAAGAAGTAAAACCACATTAGTCCTGGTCTCAGGTCTCTGCACCTGTGGCTCAGAGAATAGACTTTAAAGCAGCTCTGTTTGTCACAAGTCTCTGCATGGACTCAAAGTACATCTGAGACATGTTAGTGCCATATGAACCAACTCTGAGGAGCACAGGGATCGGCCTCCTGCCGGGACTCTGAGGAGCACAGGGACTGGCCTCCTGCTGGTCCCAGAGTCAGGACTAAACATGAGACAGTTGCCTCGTGTATGAACTGTGTTAAACAAATAACCTTGCCGTCCCTGAGTGCATTAATGTGCGGCTCCAAAACCCCCTTGAACAGTGTCACGCTACCCCCATGTCCTCCTGAGGCCCCCGCCCTGAGGCCCCCCATTCAGCCCGTATGTCCCACATTGTCCTGGCCTGTCCCGGTCACACCTGGGTTAGCACGGCGCGCGGCTAATGGCCCGTCTGGAGCGCGGCCAGCTCCAGATCTCTATTTTCATTTGTTTATTTTATAGGTTTCACTGATTAAAGCTTCCTTTTCTTTGTATTCTGGTGTTTGAATAACCGTGGCCATAAAGAAGTCTGTGTTTGTAAAGTCCTCAGAGATAACTATTGTTGTCTACTATGTAATAATATATATACTGTATATAATCTAGGATTATTGTGAGGGCTGACTCCTCCCTCACAATTGGAGCTCACACTCCTGTGAGCTGACTCCACCCACTCCAGCTGAGGGTGTTACCTCCAGGCTCCACCCTATGGCCTGAACCATGGCAGGTCCAGAAGAGGGGATGTTTGGGGAGATTCATTTGAGTTTATATTCTATATTAAGTATAAGCATATATTAGCATTTTATTATTATTATTTATTATTATTATTAGTCATATTATTACTATTAACTTTATCCTTAATTAGTTAAGTAAATGTATCTGTTTTGTGTAGTATTGTTTACCCCCTTTAGTTAATAGTTGGTCTGATCATCCAGCTTAAATGTTCCCCTGGTGTGTCTTGTGTGAGGTCAGTGTTTGTCATGTTCAGTTGTACATTTGATTTTGGCCTCATTTATTTGTATTGTTTGGCTCATTTTTTGGCTAATTAAAAAGCCTTAGTAATTAAACAGTTTGTGTGTTTCCTGCTACACCATCGGTCCCTTACATTTATACAGAAAAATGAATTCAACTTGAGCATGAATAATGTGATGGTTTGTAAACATTTGTGAATATAACATTTCTGTATTTCATATATTATAAATAACGGAATATAAAACACCTGTAAATATAAATAAGACTAATATAGTATAAAAACATGTAAAGTGTGATTTAACAAAAGGGGCAGATAATATAAAACTTCTCTGTGTGTTGTTGTGATGTCACTTTGAATTACTTTTTTTTTGTATTGAATTAAAATAATATTAATCACAGTACATTAAGAAAGAAAAGAAAGAAAACATCCTTCAGTCGTTG